GTCACCATGCTTAATTTATTTCTAAACCTTTTTTAAATTAATAAGTGAATGTAATATTATGTTCTTAATTTTTTTTACATCTATATTTATAAAGTACTTTTATTTTATGTTAAAAACTTCCGCGCTTTTTGTATGGTTGGGATGAGGTCTTTTTCGTCTTCTACTTCATCATCATGGAAAACTGACGATGTACATAATTTTAATCGGATTTATATTTTCAGGGAACGACGGAGTTTTTTAACAAGGATGCCATATTTTCACTAGGAAAATTTCCTGCCTTCAAGTTTGTTTTATCCTTTTAATATTACTAGACCAAATGATGCACTAATAACTGTTAAAATATCCAACAACTTTCTAATCGCGGCAACAGTTAAAAATACCTTAGTAAAGTTTGATCTTAAAAAATATTCGGATTTTTCTGGTAGGATATTTCTATATAAATATATTTGTTTATTAATTATTATAGAAGTTGAAATATGTCGTTCTACTGACGATCGTGTTCACAATATTTTTATGGACCCTAAAGGCCGGCACATAATAATTAGCATGCAATCTGGTTCTAATTTTTACACAACGCGTTCTATGAAGAAAGTTCGTCCGATTCATAAAGCAAAAGTACGATTATTCTCTTTACTTCCTTCGTTTTTATACATTTACCTGCTTACTTCTAATTGCTCTTTTACAGGATTATCTTATCGATTCTGTTGCCTGGAACAAGCACAATATCAGTGATAACACCACACAGGAAATACTGATTGGGACAAATGACGGCTTAATATTTGAAACTCAATTGAGCACCGGAGACGAAAGTCGATTTCTGTCGAGTAATGTTGAACAATTTTGGAAGCAGGTACCCTTTGATATTTTTTATTGTTTTCTCATAGTTATAATTAATTTACTCTTATAACGGTAAATCATTCACTCGCGACTTGCGATTCTTTACTTAGTTGACGCAATCAGATTATATTTGAGTTAGTAATCGTCATCATTTCTTGTAATCATTAC